TGAGGTATTTTTGAGGATTTTTTGACCCCCTCTCCCCTCCTGGTGAGATTTCGTAAGATTTTCCTCAACTCCCTCCCCCCTCCCCTAATCTCTCGTGAGATTTTTTAAAATTTGTGTTTTGGGTGTAAATGCGTTGGATTATTAAAAAAACAAACACTATATGTTTTATTACTTTTATTTAAGACTAAAAATTTCTAGAAACATTCTTTACTTTAATTTAATTTTCACGTAATTTTACACCGTTTTCTAATAGAAAAAAAAATACGTCAGATTTACAAAGACCCCCCTCTCCCCCAAGTGAGATTTGGAAAGATTTAGCTCGATCCCCTCCCACCCTTGAACACCTCACGTAATTAATGGACGCCCCCTAAGGGGCTCTTTAATTTATAATGGGATTAAAATGTACAATAAGTTGCCAAATGATATTAAATCGATGGAAACGGTCACAACATTTAAAATACTGCTTAGAGATAGGTTGATGACAAAAGCATATTATGCTTTGACGGAATTTTACAATGACTCTTAAATCGTTGTGACTGTTTGAACGTACATGTTTTTGTATTTATATAATTTTATCGATGTTGTGTTACGTATTTGTAATTAACCTCTAATTTTATATTTAACGTTTTTATACAATTTTTAAATTTTTATGCATGTAATTGTTAGTACTACATAATTATATTTATAAGTGTTTGTCTATAAGTTCTTGTAGCTTTGACAATAAACATATATTGATTGATTGATATTATATACAAAAAAACAAAAAACCAATATAGCAAAAATTAAAACAAATTGGGATTTGTTCTGTACACAATGATAGAAAACAAAAATATTAACTATGAAGAGGGACCTAGAATAAATATCAACAAATGTAATATAGACTCTGATAATGAAACAATGCTGCAATACGTCACAGAAATAGCAAACAGGCAAATGAACCCAGATATTACAAAATTTAATGAAAACTTAACTGATACCATTATTAACAACTCACCTAAAGAAAAAGTTAATAATTACAATATTGAAATACCACCACTCATTATTTAATGAATAAAAACAAACGAAAAATGTACAGATACTATTTAAACAACCCTAGTGAAGAAACCAAATGTCTAAATGGTTACAACAAGGACATTACAAAGAATATAAATGGATGACTGTTTGCAATGAGATAAATGAACAACAGGAAAAGAATATTGGCAAAAAATAAAAAAAAATTATCAAAATACAGTTACCCCCAACTGGAAAAGAACGGCCAAAAATTCCGAAAAGAAAAAGCAGCCTTTATTGAGGACAACAGCTCTCAATTTCATAACATACATTATACACTAGTCACACCATGACATGACATATATTTAATTAATAAACCTAACATTGAAAATAAGGAAATAGAAAGAAAAATATATTTCGACGTAGTATCTAAGGGGAAAAGAGTAGATCACCAGTACATGACATATTTACTAGAAAACTAGATTATAATATTCACATACACATAAAGAACATTTATGAATACTGCCTTAATCATATACAGTGTGGGTCTAAAGTCCATCCCTCCTTTTATTTTTTGAACCGTAATTAATAATTGAGATATGAACCCATAAAAAATTTTGATTTTAAACGAGTATAGTACAGTGTCAAAGAATAAAAATTTGTAGTATGCCAGTTGATAGCATTGAAAATTTAAAGCAAAGGATTCGTTATGAGTAAAAAGGAAAATATTTTATTTTTATTGAGGTCATTGAAAAGGGTTTGGCTCCTGTTTGCCATTTTTAATGATAACGTCACCTAATATTATTAAAACGGTAGTATAAATTCCTTAGTTCAGTTTCCCAAAATTTCAAATTTCTAACTTTTACGGTTAAAAAATAAATGGGAGAGGGAGGGACTTTATACTTTCCCCCTGAATGGAAACATGGAATTTTAATCACAATATCTAAACCGACTACATGCCACAAGTAACCAAGGAACTACAGACCTATTGACTCTTTTATCAGTGTTAAGTAAAAACTTTGAAATAATCATTAAAAACATTCTAGCTCAAGAAATTGGTCATAAAATCCCATTATATCAATTCGGATTTCATGAAAAATGTTCAATAATACATCCGGTGATAATAATTATAATCTACAATGTACAAACCGCAGCAGTGTTTCTGGACATTAACATCAATGACTTTTATACAAACTGTGGTTAATGAGCGGTCCTAAATACATATCTTCTTACTGAAAAATTACCTGGGCAGTAGAAAAGTAGGAATAACAATAAACAACGTATGTACTTACACATATTCACTCCTCAAAAGGGAGTGCCTAAAGGAGCACATTTGTCCTCACTTTTATAAAACCTATAATGATACCTATTACATATCCAATTTTAACCAAATAAATAACAATATAAATACTGATTTTTGTACATCTTAGAATGTGCAGATGACAATTAGCCTAATTAGTCACAATAAAACTGTACATAAAGGAGTAGAAAGCTTACATCACCTCACTGACAGAACAGAAATTTGGTTTAACAGGTGCAGATTAAAACCAATCCCCAAAAATCATATTTCATAATATTCCAACCATAAAAAAAACATGTCAACACACCAACTATTTCCATAAACAATACTGCGATTGAATGTGTATATTCTGCCAAGTAACTGGGAGTACATTATGGACCAAAAACTAAATTTCAAACAACACAATTCTAAGGTAAAACATGTATAACAAGAGCAAGACATTTTAAGAAGTTTAACTTATAAAAAAGAAGGCATATCCCAGAAATCTGCTGCTTTTATTTACAAAACAATATGCAGACCCATCTTAATCCCATATATATTAATTCAAGAAAAGTCACACTCAAAAATATTGAAGTAGCTGAAACAAGTACATAACAATCCATCACTAAAACAAAACACCCAATAAACACATTACATAACCCACCCAATGCCATTATCTATGAAATTACATAGGTAAATCCAATAAAGCAGCAATTAATACATCCGACTCAAAAATTCAGTGAAAAAGAAGAGATTAGAGATATAATTGAACCGCTATGCAGACTCTGTGAACCCCTCAGGCATGTCAAGATGAAGTCTCCAGAAATGACCATATATGGGAATATATAGCTTCACAGTAGCACCTTTAATACTGATAACAAAAGTAATTTATTTTTTGTTTTTTTTATGCATTACACTTGTTGTATTACTTTTTTTTAATTTTCTAGAATTATTGTTCATTTGCATTTTATATGTAATAGGCGGAAGGACTTCTGTCAATGGCCAGTTGGTTATTTTAATAAAGCATGTTTATTATTATTATTAAAAAAAAATTATTGCTTTAACAACACTCTAAAGGGCACAAAAACGCCCACACAGAGAAATAGCTACTGAGGAGCGCCATACCATGGCAAAGCCAATCTAACAGCCCACTGCAGTGAGAAGGTTAAGTGTAAAAAGCTTTCCAATTTTATCAGACCTAAAAACTTTATAATGGATCAATCAAAGCGTAATATTATTAATTCCATGATTTTTAACACTGTATTTGAAGAATATAGGATTATTATTAAAAATGAATATAAGAATTTTCAATTAAATAACAAATTCTATGTAATGTGAGAATTTTTTAAATCAAATAAATAGTTAAGAAGATTTTGTTCATTGATTGTATCATAATAAAATTTCTAAGTTCAAAAAATTGAATCGTTTTTATACTTAAACTTATATACTGAGAATCGAATGATAACTAAAAAGGTTATTGAATATCTTTTATAGAAAATTAAATTGCCAACATATGTGCTCAGGTGCATTTTTACACATTTGGAGGTGCCAGAAATTTTTGTCTGATAATTTTTATGGTTATTCATATACTTTAATTCAAGTAAAATATAAAATGTCAACCAAGTTGCAATAATGAAAATTTAGACTTCTAAATTTAAGACTTTGGAGTGATCTTACACCCCTTACACCTCCATGGTAACCTTTGCACATTTTTAGCCTACTTCAAGAAGGGGCGCAAATGTTCACTAGCTATTCGACTGAAACAAATAGTATGTATATTTTGTTATCATATATACAAGTTATACTGCAACTATCGATAATCACATAAGCTAATGCATGAAATGTGTTTTAAAAAATTAATTTTACAACATGTTCAGTGCATTAATTTATGATTATCCATAGTCCTGACATAAAAAGTTGTATTCAATAAATTATATCGCAAATTAATAAAATATGACAGCTCAATAATTTTCACTTTCATTACAAAGCAATGTCAAAACGTGAGAAGCTTATCTACTAAATTTTTATAGTCTTAGTGCACCAAGTAGTATGATTGTAAGCTATTAGTCAAGTACCAGTAATATGATTATCAATATAATCAGTATTACTAAACAATAAGTATAAGTGCAACAATAAATATAATAATGAGTGATGAAATGAATAAGTAATTAAAAATGTGACATTTTAAGCTGTTGATCTGAATTCACATTACTAGAACATAATGTATCAATAATTAAGTAATCAAAAATAAACGTTGCTGTTCCTAAAGAGTCCGAATAAGAATAATAGACCCGACAATACAGAACAACAAAGCTAAATCAATTTTGCTAATGCCAAGTAGAAATTTAACATAGGCTCCGAGACCATATTTCAGTCTATATATTTAAAAACTTTTTTAGGTTAGATACCTAGATCAGAGTCCTAGTTATAACAGTTTTCGCGATTAATTAAACCCATTCACAATGGAAATAGAAACTACGACAAAAATGTGCATAACGAAAAAAATCTACGCATAAACTCTACTTGAATATTGCACAATACACGACATATACCTTATTGTTACCTTTTAGCATTCCCAATGTAATTTTGCCATGAGATTTCTTTTTCATTTTTAGTAATAAAAATTTACAACAAATATTAGACAATCACTTTTAGCTTAGACATTTAGTTCTGTAATAGCAATATAGTAATGTTGATATATTTAAACATCAAAATATGGGAATCACCTTACTTTTATTGTGATCCATTGTTCAACAGTCCATAATCATTCATGTATTCATTAGTGCTAAATTAATGTACTAGTCATTTGTTAATGTTAAAACACTGGAATTATAGTTTTAAATATTTAATTGTTATCTATTTCACTTGCCTTTAATTAACTTCGTAATTTTGTGAAAAATATTAATAAACCGGATTGCTTTCAAAAAATGCACTGTCAAGAATGTCAAATGTCACTAATGTCAGTGTCACCTGTCATTGTCAAAACCGCCATCTGCCTGGGTCGATTCTCGACTCGTAGGAATATTTTCCTATAGGAATTTTTGACATTTTTATATAGATCGAAAATTTATGACATTTCCCTACATATAGGAAAGTGTCACAAATTCCTATAGGAAAATATTCCTACGAGTCGAGAATCGACCCCCTGTGAGTGGGAAGGGCTCGTTTATCTAAGGGGGTTGCGACATAGTCTTTGATCTTGGACGCTTTTTTTATTCGAAATATAGTCGCCAAGCCAGCAATTTGTGTAAAATGTATGAGCGATTTTTTAATAATAATATTTTCATTGTGTTCGACATAAAATATGTTAGGATGATCATTGGATACTAATTGGATCTTGTAGAGAATATATCTCATGTCAATATCGACATGATATATAAATATAAAGTGATATGCCAAATTAAAGGGAAACTATATGGAGAAGTAATTCAAATTCCATTAAAGAGACCGTGGTTTGCAAAAATAAAAAATTTGAATAGAAGGGGTATAAGTACCGTATGCAGATTAAGAAGCGGTCATTGTTTAAGTATGGTGCATCTAAAGAAAATAGGTGTAAAAGAAAATGATAGGTGTACGTGTGGAAAACTGGAGGATTTACAACATATTTTTTTTAATTGTCAAAATAATTTTTATAATATTTATACACTTTTAGATAGTTTAGATATTCCAAAAAATTTTATAAAACCTGTTACACTTTTTGATGTATTGTTTAAACTTCTGTCTTTCGGTAATGTTAAAAAAATATCAAAATTTATACAAATGTCTAAAATTAAGCTGTAAAATATTGTAATTATTTACCTGTTGTTACCAAATGGCTGTATCATCTTAGCTATATAGGCCAATAAATTATAAAAAAAAAAAAAAAATATTTTTGATAGATACCTCTTTATTTCATTCCAATATTATATATATTGTAAGCAGTTGGGTCTAACGTTAAATACAATCGGTTTTGTGTACTCGAGTCCCTTTTACTTGCGTAACTCCAACAAAATATTTAAATATTTAATCTATTATTCATGATTTTACGTATTGGGCATTCCAACGACCTGTCAAACTGCTGACAAGGGGGAACTGACATTTAGATATGGCTACCCTGTGAGCCTGTTGTCATTGACAGGATAAATGATACATATATAGTTTTATAGATTGCTTAAAGCGGGTAGTTTGCGAGCAGACATATTGCCTCGCAAGTGCTCATTAATCAGAATCTATTTTGCAAAAATGTGTTTACAAACCAATATTTAGGCTTTAAATATAGTAAAAAAAAATTACCTACATTTTTACTTCAAGGCATAAGCTTATGATTATTTTGAAAAATATGGATAATCAATCTATTGCCGCGTTTGAGAATCCACATCGGATGCATCTGAGATGTTGTGAATTTTTTATCACGTGATAGAAAATTAGATCTGAATGTAGATGTAATAAACAAACGCTCTAGACTTTATTTGGTCACCTGATAAAAAGTTAATGACAAGTTAGAAGTTTATACTTATTAAATTTAACTTCTGAGACTACAAATCAACCTAAATTTGAAATATAAACAAAAATTAAACAAACTAATCATTTTTATATTCACTCTATCATAAACAAAGGATAAATTGACAAACAAGGCTTCACAGAACACTTACTTTCTGGCATGGAACGAACATCTCATTCACATCTCATATCAAATCGAGATGTAAAAAATGTAATCTGAACAGGTAGATCTGGGATAAACAAACGCAGATGTAGATGTAGTAGATGTGGATAAAAAAACGCTCGAGATGTAAAAAATGCATCCGATGTGGATTCTCAAACGCGGCATATGTAACTATCTATTTCATTGACCTTGTCAAATCATTAGGCCTGCAGGGTTGCCATAATTTTGCCATATCCTAACCTGTCAAAACCCACTGGTAGCCATTTTGCTGGGAATGCCTAATTGTAGATAGAATACATTAGTAGCGTTCGGTTTGGCCAGGTTCTGGTACGGGACAGAAGGGGAGTTTTTTAGGGTGCTTTTAAATGTCATTTAAGCGTGTTGAACTGTCACTAATCGGACTAAACCGAAGGAGCTTGGCAAACCGAGCGCAACTATTTTATGTCGTAACCCCTTAGATGTACCAACCCTTCCCACTAGCCGACTGAAAAAACGGTGCGCATGACAATTTGGACGCCAGACTGTCAATTTCGAGCATCTACGTCACGTTTCCCACGGACGTACTACGATAAATTATATTATTTTTTATTAATAACGCGCTATTTTAATAAATATTATTGGAACACTTGTTTCAGCTGCGTATTAATTAAAAATAATTTTCAAGTGATTTTCTTAAAAGATGTCGTAGTTGAATGTAATAAGTGTTAAATTTAATTTTGATGATCCTTTTTAGTGCATTTCGATACGCACGTGTGGGCGCCAAAGTGTCAAATATCACCTCGGTACACATACTTTGATTTTCTTTTACTATACGGAGAATGGTCGCACTGCGCAGCTTTCTGAGTGCCTTTTAAAAGGAGATAGAAAACTCCGCCATTTTGAACCCTTATTACGTGTTACCTACATCTTGGCGCAATATTTTTAATAGGTGCGTTTTAATCATCCGCTTTTGCCTCGGAATTGTCGGTTTTCTTGTTTTAATTTGACAGGTTAAAACGACTAAACCGACAATTCCGGAAGCAGAAGCGGATTATTAAAACGCACCTGATATTTTGCTTGCTGTTGTCAGTGTCAGCAGAGACAATCCAGCGAGACGTGTAACTCAATGTATTTTTTTTGTTCGGTAAAAGTTATTCGGGCGATTGTAACCACAACCAGTCTATGATGGCGCCACTAGTAAATAGCGGAAAAATTAAAAATGCCTTAGGGCGGGAAATTCAAACATGGATTCAGAAGTAAATAGTTTGTCTATACAAATTTACAGGAGAAACAAAAACTATTGTTTCACTGTATATTAAAAAAATATAAAAGCTTCCAATAACATCAAATTTTTTATCACATTAATAATCATTTTAATAAAGGAAGTTTATTACTCTTGTAAATTTCGCTAAAAAAAACTTGAAATTTCTATTGATTATTAAATATTTAAACTTGGAAAATAATACACCAAACTCTTTTTCTATAAATTATATTTTTGTAAGGTACAGAAAAACAAACTACAATTGCTTCGTTTAGAAAGTACCTCGTATCATTTTGTGACAAATTACAAAGAAAGTAACAGTTGTTATATTTTCATAATATATTTAAAAACTAATGTAACAAATATTTTATAAAGTATAGTATTGATACCTTTTTGCCAGACTATCATAAGTGCCATTTGAACAAATGTCACTTATGTTAGTCTGGCAAAAAGGTATGGATATGTTATGAGTGTTTATTTTAATAGAAACCATGGAAACGAAACACACATACACTCAACACAAATGTATAAGGCCCGAGTCAAGTAAACTGGATCGAAACCTGCTAACTCCTCTTATAGTAATCAAGATCAATAGATTTATATTCCATGCCTTCTAAAAGGGAATGAAGAATGACATACGATGTATTATCTTCATACAACGCTATCATCATTTAAACAGGACTTTGCTGAACGCGTAAGATATGCATTACGAACAACAATCTGATAGAAATAATAATATTAAGGCTAATATAGTTGAAGAATATTGTAGGTTGAATATATTTATTGCATATCTGGATTTCCTTATATCGCTTACATCACGCTTTTCCGAAGACTCTGTTAGTTTTTCCTTAAGCCTGTTACATCCCAAAAACATAAAAAAATACTTTGTTCACTACCGATTAGAAAATGAAAGTAGTGGACAAATTTGGAATCGACAATTTTGAAGCTGAATACCAAAGAGTACGAAAGAGCTTTCTGCACACAATGAGCTCTCCATTAATGATATAGCATCCAAACATTGTGAATTTTATCCAGACATACAAAGTGGCTTAAAAATTATTTATGGCTCTTCCATCAATGACACCGGTGTGAAGTTAGCAGTAACTTTTAGCAGTAAAAATAACCGACAACACCCGATCGCGAAAACAGTGGCGTCCAGTATACAACTATTTAAATAATCTTGTCAATATGTATTTTACACATTAATATTGACAAAAAATTAATATACTGTTGAAAATAACCCTTAAAAATGATAAAACTATTTATCCGACGAAGGAAATCAGATCGCAATTTAATTTTATATTTAAAAAATAAATACATTAACATACGCTATAGGTAAACATTAAACAGAACAGGGTAAAATTAACCCATTAAATTCATAAAATAATTATCCTGTGAAGTGTATTAAACAGGGTGAATTTAACTCTTAAACTTCAAAATAAATAATTACCCTATGAAGACGATTAGATCCCAACTTGGTTTTAAATTTAAAAAATCATAAATACACTCACCAAAATACACTGTTAGCGAAAATCCCTTCAGACCCGTCAAACAGGGTGAAATTAACCCTTAAACTACATAATTAATAATTAACCTATGAAGACGATTAGATCCCAACTTGGTTTTAAATTTAAAAAATCATAAATAAACTCTCGAAAGTACACTGTTAGCGAAAATCCCTTCCGACTCGTCAAACAGGGTGAAATTAACCCTTCAACATTAAAATAAATAATTACCCTATGAAGACGATTAGATCTCAACTTCGTTTTAAATTTAAAAAATCATAAATACACTCACCAAAATTCACTGTTAGCGAAAATCCCTTCCGACTCGTCAAACAGGGTGAAATTAACCCTTCAACATTAAAATAAATATTTACCCTATGAAGACGATTAAATCCCAACTTGGTTATTAATTTAAAAAAATCTCAAATACACTCACCAAAGTACACTGTTAGCAAAAATCCCTTCCGACCCGTCAAGCAGGGTGAAATTAACCCTTAAACTTCGAAATAAATAATTACCCTATGAAGACGATTAGATCCCAACTTCGTTTTAAATTTAAAAAATCAT